GCACCAGGTCATGACCACGCATCCACAGGAGCTCCTACATGTAAAGGAACCCGTCATCTTCGACGGCGAGTCGCACTACGTCTGCACCTGCATGCCACTATTGCCTGTGATTGACGATAGCAAGTACTTGGTCGAGGGCCCAAGACGCACGACAGCGCACGAGGCCGTGCGTGGGGCAGGTCAACCTCCAGTGCCGTTGTGCAGTAAAATGCCACAAAATCATTTGATTGGCTGCTCTATTTTCTAGTTTTAGCCAATCACAGGCGTGATGTTTTCGCCGATGATGCAGCTTGCCAGTTTCGAGCGCCGTGATCGGCCAAATCGCATTTGACAATGAAAGCTTTCGTACTTGGCATGTCGATAGACAATGCTTTGGAGAGTTCGAAACGCTGCGTCTCGTCGGCGTCGGCGGTCTGCAGCGTCGTGCAGAGTCCAACATGTTATTTGTGTTAAACACCACAAATAACCACAAACAACATAATTTCAGAACTTGCCACCACGATCGCAGCCCATTCGCTTTGCAGCTTCTACACGTAGCGATTCCAGCTCTGAAAAGTGTAGCTTGCTCTCAACTGCACAAGAAAGTCTAACGTTACAACGACAAGTACTCTAGAGCTAGAGAAAGCGCCCCTAATTATGTCAAAGCGATTTGAGAAGGTTGCAAAAGTTTTGACAAGGCTCTCACAACTGCCACAGCAATAATGCATGAGGAAAATGCTGGAATTCTTGGTGATTTTTCAACGAATGGAGTTGAATAAAATTGCGTTTTCAAAACCACGCTCTGTGCGCGGAGCCACAACACTGGGACCATTTCAGTGACCATGGAAGCGTCTGTCTAGAAGTATGACAGTAGTGAGCCACGAATACATTCAAGTTTGACAGAAAGCCGACCCACAAGTAGCACATAAGGTCACCCATGTCATTTGATGGCAACTGCTACTGTACCGCGGTATGTGCTTGCGGCCATTGCATTATGGGCTTGTTTTTAGCCTCTAGGTATAGTCCAATGTAAAAAATGCATCGCTGATTGATTCGTTAAGATGAAAACTGAGCTCCGAGAAAAATTGCGACCGTACGTTCGAGCACTCAAGTCGTTGCCGTAGGGCCGAGAGGATGGGCGGCAGACAAGAAAAGGTCATATTACACCCCTTGCGTGCCGATCTGGAAGCTCAGGATACCAAAGGCGGCGACGCCAAAGAGCAGCACCAAATAGATATAGAAGTCGCCGCTGAAACGACCCGAGTACATGTTGTCACGCGGGTCCTCGCGGCGTGCCACAAATTGCAAGAGCGCGGGCGCAAGGAAGGCCACGTAGACACCAAAGACACCCGAGATCTGCAGCGTCACGCTCAGATCCGAGACGAGCACGGCAACGACAAGGGGCGGGAGCGCCGCGACGAGGCGGCAGAAAACGCGCACTTGGCTGCGGCTCAAAAACGTGCAGCAGTGCCGCAGCGAGACCGCGAGGTTGTCGCCGAGCGTGATCGCAATCAACGGAAACACGCTGAGCGTGTCCAGAGCCGGAAACAACACGACGAGCGCCGTGAGGCAGCGCGCCCAGATCGGCACCGGGTCCAAGCCCCACGTAAAGTTGGCCCAGTTGAGGTTGACGCTCGAGCTAATGCGGTCGCCAAAGTAGTAGCAGCATGTGAGGCCAAGGCCGAGGTAGAAGAGCGTCGTCGTCAGGAGCGCACCGCCAAAAATCTGCGCCGCTTTCGGCTGGTTGGCACGCGAGAGCGGTGCGAGGAGGCCGGGCACCGAGTGTTGAAAGAGCTAGTGCACAACACGTTAGAAATGCGCTTCCAGAATCATTGGTTGTACCTGGGAAAAGACAGTCGTGCTGAAGAGCAACCCAAAACCGCGAAAGTCCACGAGCGGCACGTCGCTGAGGTATGGCGTCGTCGTCGTTGTGGTGCTGCCTACAAACACAGCGTCGGTCAAAGGCGCGGCAAGGTACACAGCGTACCGCTGTCGGCGGCGTCTGTCCACATGGCCACGGCGGCGCTCACAATCATGGTCAGCAGCGCTACAAAGCGCAGCACGGCCATGCCGACTTGCACGTGGATCTGCTCGTTGAGATCTACACATGGCTCAGCGTCGGCCACGTCATCAAGGCGTCGTACCCACGCACGAGAGCGGCACGACAATGAGGCCAAACACGATCGCGACCGCCACGTTGCTCATGGCAAAGGACGCGAGCTGCGACGCAATGCTGTTGACAAACACTTGCGCGTAGCCAATGAGGCCGCCGTACATCAAGCCGAGGAGCGAGATCTGGTAGACGCGCGCGCCAATGTGGCCGAGGAAGCGCTCGCAGAGCGTCGTTACCTCCGGAAAATGCATCGGGTCGGCGAGCAGTTTGGTGTGCGTGTTCATCGCGTCGAGCTCGCGCGCGCGCACCGTTGTCTCGCTTACCCACATGACGGTGATGTACGAGAGCCACGAGACGATGAGGAGCATGATCGAGCCAAAGAGGAGGCCAGCATGGTACAACGCGTACGGCACGCCGAGGCTGCCAACGCCGAGGATGTAGTTGACCGTGAACGAGTACGCGACGAGCGGCGAGTACGCGCTCTCGACGTCGTACTCGAGCACTTGGAAGCTCATGGACCGCGAGAGCGAGAACGAGATGAGCTGGTGCGCAGCGCGCGACGAGCGCGTCTCGGCCACGTCGTGGGCGTCGTCCATCGTGGCCCAGCTCCGCGTCGTTGTCGAGGACGTCGAGGCCATAGGTACGAGTGCGAGGCTGGAGCGCTGCGACTGGACGAGGCTGTCGCCCGTGTCGTGGTAGAGTGCGCCCCAATCCATGCCCCGACGTGTGGGTTGCCCAACGGCAAAGTCGCACCGGTGGGAAATTTTAATTCTATATTTTATTTGAACATATACTTTGTATGCCGAGACGCGAAATATAAAAAGACAGGCGGCACATCGAACCATCTGCCACCACGGCGCTGGCGCCCACGGATTGGTCCGCGACGGTTCGAAAATTCGACGACACTCTGTGCTCAGAATCAGATTCCAAAGGGACCAATCAGCGCGCGCTCATGCGAAGATCGCCCTTCTAGATCGCGAGTCGTGCCCCTGTGGCTCCAGTGGCGCACTGAACGCGACGCCAGGGGCCTTCGATGGTCGTCGAGTAACACGACGAAATCGAAAGCAAACTTCGCCAATGAGCAGCGCGCGTTCGACCACGTCGCTGCGCCGGGCAACGCCAGTGGACGCCGCAGCTGGACACCACGCGACACGTCTGCAACTTGGCACTGCAGCGCTCTGAGCGCTTGTACGCTAAATGTTTCGAACCATGCCGTGGACGAGTCGGGCGTGGTTGGCCAAACGAGTCGCTCGAAGCGGCCGGAACCAGCAAGTCCGGATCGCCGAAGGACGTGCTACTCTCTATCGCATTTCGCACACGCGAGGGTGTCGCGACAGTGAGCGCGACAGGCAACTGCAGCGTTGCGCAACGACGGGCGCACGGTTGCAACGCCGAGCGCCCTCTGCGTGTACACCGGGGTACTGTCGATCGCATGGCAGTCCGGCCATGGGATTGGTCAAAATAAAAACATAATCAACACATGGGGCTTGTTGATTGGGCAGATCTCAGGAAGGCCTATGCAAGCAGTGCTTTCTCGCTGGCTTTGGCGCCATGTCGCTCTGGCGTCGACACGCTGATCGTGGCAACGCAAACTCCAATGGTGCGACGCCAATTTGCTTGTGATGCGCGTGCCCAGCTCACACAACTGCACATGCAATGTTTTTTGTTCAGCTCTGCCGGGGCTCAGTAAAGCGGTACGAGGGCAGGTGTGTCCACGTAGTATCCAAAGGATTCGGCTTTTATGTCAAACTGGCCCGCTAGTGTCATCGTGCCCCCGACGACAAGGGATTGCGATAACTGTATGCTCGCTCGGTCGACGCAACACTCTTGAATGAAGCAAAGAATGACGTTGAACAAACGAAAAGCTGGTTGTTTTTGTGTCCAACCGGTGAATGCCAACGGGCAAAACCCCGTGCGTGGAAAAAATAGCCAAGCGTTTTGCGTTGTAGCAGGAACAACTAGCGACAGCATGGGCGGCGGCACGTCCAAGCAAGGAGCAGCGTCGACAATCGAGCCGAGGTCGGTGCGCGAGCCGGCGAATGCAGGCGGCAACGAGCTGCCCAAGCCGCCCAAGGCGATCAAAGACGTCAAGCTATACATTTCCTCGTTCAAGGACGAGGCGCTCGAGCTCTCGCATGCGTCGGGCTCGGACTTTACCGGTACGCTTACCAAGCACAAGCTCGCGGTGCTCAAGCAAATTCCACCCGAAATCTTTGTGCTCTGCCACCTCAAGGAGCTCAACGTGAGCGCCAACGACATTCACGTGCTCGACCCCGCGATTGCCAACCTCGAGGCCCTCACCAAGCTCGACATTTCCCAAAACCACCTCTCGGAGCTGCCCGATGCGCTCTGCGAGCTCCCAAATTTGACGTCGCTCATCGTGTCGGAAAACGAACTCGTGTCGCTGCCCAAGACCATTGGCAACTTGAAGGCGCTCACGCAAATCATTGCCTTCAAGAACGGCATCACGACGCTCCCAGACTCGATCGACGGCTGCATCGCTCTCGAAGAAATTAACTTTTACAACAACAAGCTCACGGAGCTCGGGCCAGGCTTCTTCAAGCTTGCGAACCTCGTCGAGCTCAACATTGCTGTTCGTCTCGTTTTGATGTGTAGCGCAACTGAGCCCTCGTTGCATGTAGGGCAATGCACTGACGCAGCTGGACCCGATTCCAAATCTCGTGCGACTCAAACGCTGCGCTGCGTACTTTAACCGCCTCCGGTCGTTCCCGGATCTCAACCACTGCAAGGAGCTAACCCAAGTACGTCACCCCAGTAGTCTAGTACCTTTTGTAATCTGCTGTCTAGGTCCAGCTGTACCGCAACCAGATAAAAGAGCTTCCGGACCTCTCGAACCTCCCGAGCTTGACCGAAGTCGATGTCAACACGAACTTGTTGCGTCAGATCCCAGAGTCGCTCTGCACGGGCAACGCCAACATGCGCATGTTAAATTTGCGAAAAAACCGCCTCGTGGAGCTCCCAAGCTGCATTGGACACCTCACAAGCCTCGAGATCCTCAACTTGGGCGGGAACGCGATCAGCTCGCCCGTGCCCGACTCGATTGCGCAGCTGCCAGCGCTCGTGTCGTTCTTGTTTGATGACTCGAATCTGACTGTGCTACCGCTGGCGCTACTGGGACTGCACGCGCTTGTCCGCGTCGACGTGGGCCGGCGTATCGACAAGAGTGACGCAACGACGACCAAGGTCATGGCGCAGCTGGAAGCCATCTGCGTCGCGAACCGCGGATGGCTCAAAGAAACGTAAGTGTCCGGGTGATAGCGCTAGGCATGTATTCCATTGTAAAAGCAACACAGATCGACATATTCTGTACATTTTCATGTCGACGAGCGGCGTCACAACCACTCGTGTGGATCACGATGAATCTGCCGGGAACTCCAACCCAAATGTTGTGGACTACGCCCGGAATACTCGCCCTCTTACGCGCTGCAATCGTGCACGTCCACATCGGTGTGAAACAACAGCTCACAGATTTATTTTGCACCAGATTCGAGTAAAGGCACTTGGACTCTGCTACTGGCAACGTACATTGTAAACGCATCCAACCTATCCGTGTCGCATCGTGCAATAATTTGTCGAGAGACACGCGATAGCAAATTCTATGGAGATCCCGCACTGCCATGTTCACTGTGCGGGAGAGCACGAGGTATTTGGCGCAAAGACGCATGAGACGCTCAAGGCAACGGCCGACGCATGCGTCGACCCCTCGGTGTTGCTCGTTGCTGCTCTCTCCTGTACACAGCCCATCGAATATGACATAAGCTGGCGAATTAACATCGACACTAGCCTGCCGTAGTCTTGGTGTCGTCGAAAAGAGAAGGCGTATCGTAGAGCCAATGAATGCGATAGCGCACGACAGCAAGCAGTACGAGGAGCATCGCGGCGTGGCCCGCATACATGATGAAAAGCGGCACTGTGTCGCGGTCGAGATATGTCGAGAGCATTGCGCAGACGGCGCTCCAGAGACTCAGCGCGTATACGACGAGCTTGGCGGCACGAACGTGCCTATGCTGCATGAGACACCATCGTCCGAGGATGAAGCCAGTACCAAGTCGAGCACGCGCGGCGAAAGCGATAATGAGACACGAGCAGGACGAGGTCGCCGAGGATAGAAATCCCGAGGTAGAAGCGCTAGCATACCGTGAGGACGGCAGTGCGTTCACGCTGAGAACATACCACGTTGGTAGCAAAAAAGGTCTTGGCGCCAATCATGAGGCCCTTGACAAGCTGACCAACCATCGCAAAGAGCGGCGACGTTTGAATGTCGAGGTCGAGCTGCGGAAACGCGAGCTGGTGGCTGCCGTGCGAGAGGACCGCGAGCGGGATGAAGAGACCCATACCGAACATCCCGACCATTGCATATTGCCACTAGTCAGTGAAAGAAATAATCTCTATGGACAAATTCACAGATAACGTACGTGGGTCGGAGTCCAGCACACAATGGCGGGGTTGGACCAAAGCACGTACGTCGTCGTGTCGGGTGTCGACAGCTTATAACAGGCCATCGCGTAAATGTACTGTTCGACGAGAAACTAGAGAATGAACTAGAGTCGACTGAGTTTCAACACTGTTTCAACGTACCATGAAAAGGACGCTGCTGAGCAAACTCGGCAGCAAGAACGTGACGACATAGTTGAGCCAGTTCATGCCCTTGAACTTGTTGGCAGCTTTGAGGCTGAAGAACCACAGCACCAGACAGGCCACGGCAAAGCGCTGCTTGATCTAGCGAAAAGGACAATAGTCTCCAAGAATTCGACGATCCGCCACGTACTAGAAACGCGTTGAACTCAAACTGCGCGACAAAGTAGCCGCTGAAGTTGATGTCAATGGTCACAAGTGCTGCAATCTGATGCACCACGTACGACGCGTCCCTACCAAAACGACTTGAGAAGTCCCAGATGCAATTGTGGTGCGTACCAGACTTGCCACGGAATCGTGTTGAGCTGGACTAGCTCCCAGAGAATGCTGACGATCGCGAGGTAGTTTTTGAGGCACGCGGGAAAGTCCGTGAGGTTGATCGCGTCGACGCGCCGCGTGTCATTGAAGCCTTGGATGGTCGTCGTCACCGAGACAATTGACGAAAGCGTGAGAAGGACCCAGCCAACGCCAAGCCAGCACGCCAAAAGCGACAGCAGCGATGCGTCGGCGATGACCGGGGTCAACACGTAGTAAAAAAGGAGTGGCAGCCCCAGTGCCAACGCCGTGTACAGGAGGCTCGACCAGAAATCGCCAAGTCCGATTTTGCCATTCTCCGACGGCCTACACAATACGCAATGAGCATGGTCGACGGAAGGTGGTGCCCACCAGATGAAAAGCAAGTCCAAGAATATCCCTTGGAGCTCCGAGACGACGAGGAAGTAGCGCAGCTCCTTCTCGGAGCGGAGCACGGCCAAGTCGGACGGGTAGTCGTCGCCGGACGCCACATCGATCGCTTCTGCGGTTTTCTTCCGCCGGCGAGTCTTGCCGACCGCGCCCCGACGCTGCAACAACCCTGACGACTGCGCGAGCAGTCCGCGGTACGTCCGCGATGCCTCTCGAAGGGCGTCCCGCGTGGCCACGAGACGCCACACGGTGACCGCCAAGATCGTCCACGCCACCCCGTGTATGACATCGGCCACCTATTTCGATGTTGGCGACAGACTCGTCGGGCCATATATAAGCGAAATACCCATCCGTCGCGGTACAGGAACCAAGCCATCTTTTTGGCCCGCGCGTTGAGCGCCTTGAGCTTGGAGTGCGCGTCAAATGGGTCGACGTCGCGGTACAGAGCCAGCGTCAACTTGCGCTTGGCTTCGATCTCGTATAGGGTGGTGCCCGTGGGGGCCAGAATCTGGCCGCGCTTGAGCGTTGCCATGTGCTTGAGCAACGTCGACGTGCTGCTACGTGCGTGGGGCGTCACGGCGGTTGGCACGAGTGAAAGCGACGGCGACGAGCCCGGCGCCGACGCGAGGGCCTGGCGCCACGCCCGGTGCAAGACCGTCGCGAGTCGAGCGGTCGACTGCAGTAAATCGCGCGACACCGCGGCGGGCTCGGGGATCGATACGCGGGCCAAGTGGGCGTGACCAAAGCAGGCATCGGTAAGCTTGGACACGACAAGCAGCGTTTGCAAACGCTCAATCGGCTGCAGTAAAAAATGGTTGAGTGTCTCGGGGGCCACGGCGCACTGGCGCTCGTACCTACACCACATAACACACAACAGTGTGCGTACATGAAGCAACAAGGACGGTTTACTGTGGTGCGGCGTGGGCGAGCGCCTCGGGCTGAGCAAAGATCGACTGAATCGGAAGTATGCAGTTGCGTCCGGGGAGGTGACGACGGCGAATCGACGCGCCGCTCTCGGTCGTGGGGGTCACGGCAGCGCGCAACAGGCCGTGCAAGAGAAATCGACCGGCCGTGCGCATGACGGTGGTTGGCATCGCCGGCGCGACCGGTCGCGGTGCCACATCATCATCGAGGCCAGGAATCCCGTTGCACACTTCGAGCAAAGGTACGTGGCGTGCACCCGAGATCGCAGACACGTGGGCGTGGAGGTGCGTCTTGAGAAACGTGAGACCCCGTGGCATGTGCAACTCGATCGCTCGACGAATCGCATACGAAGTGCGGTGCCAAATGGCGTGGTGCGTCGGGTTTGTCAGCGACGCTAGCATGTGGGGCTGCAGCGCATCAAACGAGCCCGCGCCGGACCCGAGAAGCAGCTCTGCCACGTGCTTGCACTCGTCGATCGCGTACTGTTTCTCATACGAGCCAATGAGCTTTTCTTTCGATGTCATGCGCTCCAAAACGAGTTGCAGATCGGTCCAGTGCAGTAGCAGCTGCGCCGCGGCGTCCGACATGTCGGCCGCGCCCCGGTGTTTGGCCGACCCGACGGCGACGACACGGCCCTGCGAATGCGCTGGCCACAGCCACCGGCGCCCGAGAGAGCGCAGCGACGATGCGAGCCAGAGAAACCCCCGTGTGAGGCGCTGCCGTAGCGATTTGGAGCCACACGTAGAGTATGGAAACGCCGACGAGTTCAACTCGTCCATGGACGTCGTGGGCGCGACGACAACTGCAATGTGACCGTACGGTTGGACGACGTCGAACCGCATTTTGTCCCGTTGTTCCGGGTAAAAATCGATCGACGCCGTCGGCGGCATTGGAAACCCCGCGGTGGCGCGTCCGATGCAAATATCCACCGGACTCCACGGCAAGTACATCCATAGCTGGATATCGAGCGACTGGAGCGCGTCGTCGGCGTCGACTACGAGGCGGCCGTCGGTCACGTCGTAGTCGCCGCACCGGTAATGCTGGTGCGGGCATGTCGCCGGCAATCGACCCGAAACGCAACTGTAGTAAGCATGTTTCTTACCGACGCCAAGGCGAACATAGGGCCGGGACCCGAGAAGCGCCCACACCCACGAGTGCAAATGAACGTGGCGGAGCTCAATGCTCACGGGATACGTCATGTCGGTCGTCGGCGTACTCGACGGATCAAACGCATGGGACTTGTGGCTGCTCAAGAGGTGACGCACGCTGCGACAGAGCGCTTCAATCTGGTTGGTGTAGTAGCCAACGTCCATGTCGGGGCTTTCGAGGCATAGAATGACCCACTCGCCAATGTGCTCGATGCGCTGAAAGAAGAGATGGACGTCGCTCGCCGCGGTCGGGCTGCTCGCCACGCACGCTTCGTGCAGCAGCTGCAGCACGTAGTGCAAGGTCTGAAGGCACATGGTCGCATGGCGCGTGCTCTCAATGGCTACAATGAGCTGCGGGTCGCGGTTTGCGCTCTCCAAGGCGGTGTAGAGAGCCTCGTAGCCGTCGACGCAGTACTTGACGTGCTCCTCCTTCATCGCATGGACCCACTGACTCCGCATCGCCCAGTCGTCGTCGCGCGTTTCGTATTGGTCGCTGTATGCTTTTGAGAGAAGGAAAATGTTGGTGAGACCGTGGTCGTGCAACAGCCCGGGCACGCCCTTGTCGATGCGACCGAGCGCGGCCATGCGCACGAGCACCGAGTGCACCACGCGGACCTACAATCACCGTCATGTCCGAGTCGGCGAGAAGGATACACAACCATGAAAACTGAAACATGAAAATGCAAACTCAAAATTGCAACATGAAATCGTACCAGCACGCGCAAGTGCATCTCAAACTCAAAGTTGGTCAGGTACATGGCGTGCAGTAGCGTCTGCGCGATATGCACCTTGGTGATGCCGTGGCCGCGGAGGTCACTGGTCGCGCGCGCCATTTCTGCGTTGAGCGTGTCGAGGCTGTGCACAGTGCAGAAGCGCACAAAGAGCTTGGCCGCCAGCGTCGCGTACGCCCACGGCCGACGCATGCTATGGTAGACGCCGTAGAGCAGCAGCGAAAAGAGACTCGCGGACGACAAAGCGCTCTCGTCGTTCAAGAGAGGCGCTTGCAAAAACGGCGGGTGTTCGCAGAGCAGGGCTAGGGTTGTGAGCAAGGGCGGCAAAGTCGGCACAAAGGGGTCGGTGCCCCGGGGTCCATGCAAGCTGTGCGCGGCCGCGGCCAAAAGCACGTGGACTAAAGACGGCGACGACGACGAGACGCGGGCAAACTGGACGGCAATCGCTCGCACCCGAACGACCGCATGCAATAGGTCGCAAATGTCAACGCACTGGTCGAGCGTCGACTTGGCCAAATGCGACGACACAAAATGCAGCGTACTCGCTTCGGCGACGAGAAAGCAGCCGCTGATCGACGCGCGGGCGATACGCAAGAGCATGCGCAGGACGGCGCCCCACGAAACGCTGGCGACACCCTACATCAAGCATCGTATGACGATGCTATATAGCGATGCCTCGCGTACACGGTGGGGATGGCTGCACGCGAGATCCCAGAGCCGAAACAGCTGCACGTAGATGCCCGGCGACGACAGCGGCGCTCCGTTGCAGCCAACATACACAAGTGGGCGCAGCTTGGACCCGCTGGCTTCGACGAGTGGCACGTCGTCGTGCTCGGTGGCACACGCATAAAAGCTTGCGACAAGCTGCGTGAGGGCCACGGTCGCCGCTGTGAGGCCCTTGTCAAGAGCGTCACAAGCGCCGTGGTCGTATGCAAAGATAGCGTCGAGACACATGACTACGGACGTGAGCGCCGACAGCTCGTGGCTCGCACCGCCGGACGCGACGATACAAAGCTGCGTTTCAAGCAAAGCACTGTCCACGTCGCAGTCTCGGCGCAAACCGCTGAGCATGGTCTGAAGGCGAAGAATGTCAGGGATGCACCGAGGCTCTTTTGCAAGCGATGCCATTGTCCTTGCAACGTCCCGGTGTGTCTCAATCGCGTACGACCGCACGTCTATCCAAACGTGCGCCGCGACGAGCACCGACAACAGCGGCAGCGGCTGGCGTCCGGACGCTGCCAAATGCACCAAAATTCGCCACACCAGTGGTGCGAGGTGCTCGTTGCGGCGAAGACGATCCAGGAGGCAGTCCAGCACGCCATCGGAGGCAAGCACCGCCGCTTGCACCCATGGACTTGTCGTGGCGACAGCGAGCAGGTGCAAGCCTGGAGCTTGCAGTCGCGGAATGTGCAGACACTCGAGTAGGGCGTCAAGCGTGCGGTGGGTGCCATCAAGAAACGCCATCTCGCAGTGCACGCGCTCAAAAAGGCGGGCTGCTAAGTCCATGGCCAGCGCTTGCCGGTTCCACGGACCGTGGTGGGCAAGGCGCAGTAGCAGCTGCAACAATGCGGCCGCTCCATCGATGCGGCGCTTGTGTCGCAGACAAGAAGGAAGAGTGTCGAAACAAGCAGCTGCAAGGTCCAAGGCATGGCCGACGTTGAGCATCGCGAGGGTGCCTTGGGTCTTGCGACAACTGTCGACGCCCCGATGCAAAAGACTCTCCGCGTTGGTCAAACCGTACCAGAGATGCGGTTGGATCGCCGTGAGGATCTCTGCGAAGTCCAAGGATGACGCCAATGGACGCAGTGCTTGGAGCGCATAGCCAGCCGCTTTGGAGCAAAGCACCGAGAGACTCTGCAAGAGGTGCGCCATCGACGGCAGGTGCGCAACGACAACGTCAGGATCAACCACTGCAAGACGCGAGAGAAATTTGGCCCTCTCTCGCACCTCGGCGCGGTCGACTGGCCTGGGTATTGCGTCGAGATGCAGTAGGAACCCACGCGTACCCCACAGGCCCTCGATCGCCAGCGTTGGCGGCGCCAGAAGCATGGCGTAGAGTCCATACGATGCCTCGGACGGCGTCTCGACGGCGTCCAACACGGATAGCAAACGCTGCACTGCTTTGGGAGAAAGGTCTTGCCGGTGTAGAACCCAGTAGACGCTTAGCGCGGCCGCCGCCACGATCCTCGTGGGCGCCTTCAAGAACGGCGCAATGCGACCAAGCCACGCCCGATCGCGCGTCGACTTGAGGACGAGCAGAAGGTGCGACAGGATCCCGAGGCATGATGCGAGCGATGATGGTGCCCCGTGCAGCAACGGCAGTCGGTCGAGTGTTTGGGCGATCACGCCAGCTCGAGCAAGCGCCTCATACAACCACTCGGGACTCCCCATGTTTGGGTGCAACAGCGCTGCGAGTGCATCCAAGAACAGCGCTGCGTCCGGCGTGGGGGGCGATGACGTGTGCGTCACAATGTGCTGCACCAATAGCTGCCCGACCATGGACTGCCACTTGCGTGGGAGTGTTGCATAGGGCACGTACAGCACCGGGGCGACTGTGGCGAGGTGCCGCGCGGCGCAGAGGCTGCGCGCGACGAGGACCAAGGCCGGCCGCTTGACGATAGCCAGTTCGAGGCAGCTCTGCAGCGTCGCCGACGCTAAGAGCATCTTGTCGGCTGGCGAGTTGTACCCACACCGATGGCTGTAGAGTATGCCAACGACGAGCTGCATCAAGTCCGCTGCCAGTTGCAAATGGTTGTGCTGCAGCGCACACAATAGTCGGTCACAAAGCACTGGAAGCAGTCGCGGTAGATGCGGCGCCAGCACTGCACGCGCCTCGATGCTGTCGTCAAGAAGCTGCGACACCAATCGCGCTGTAGGCGTCGGGTCGCCCGAGCCATGTGCAAGGGCCGATGTGACCGTGACCAGGAGGGATGGCAGTAAGGATGTTGCATAGGCTGCGAGGGACGGTTGGCGGCAAGCAAGCATCTCCGATACAAGCGCTGCAGCCGCGTCTCGCACGCACGGCGGCGCGTCACTTTGCACGGCGTCCGTGATGACGTCGGCGATGTCGACCACGAACGAGCACATTTGCTCGGTACCACTAGGATACCTCATGATGCAGCACCGAAGGACATGAAGCCACCACGACCGCTCGCTATGGTCACTAGTGGTCGCCACGACACGCTCTGCAGCCTGCAGCATCTTGTCGGGGGCCGTTGAAAAGTGCAGATACCAAAACACGATATCGACATCGGTCGACGCATGACTGAGGACCCTGCCGTGCGCCACGACCGTCACCCAACTGTCGTCGTCGGTAGTCTCGAGGGGGTCCGTAGCTGCCCGGCCGGCCGCGATAAACCATGCCCAGTACACACGATGCGGTACGCGCTGGCTCAAATGCAAAACGAGATGGTCGATGGCCATCGTTGGCGTCTTGGTCCCCGAACGTCGCGCACATGCAGCACCGAGCGTGACGGCCGCGAGCGTGAGAGCAGAGACGCGACGCTCTAATAGCGGCGAGAGCAGTGACTGCACGTCGGGTGGCGGTTGCAAGCGCAGTGCCAAGCGCAAAAGGCGGGTGTACGTGCGGCACACTCGGGTGGCGACGCGGCGTGCGTCCGTCGTAGCGATGGTTGTGTGGTGCAGTTGCCGGTAGAGGGCAAACGAGAGCCGCACCGCTTCGTCTTGCGCCGCCGACGGGCACGTGCGGAACCCGAGCTGCCACAGCCGGCACACGAGATCGGCGATCTCGACCGTGTCGACAGTGTCGGTGACGAGGCGTTGGCAGCGCTCCCAGAACGACACGACTCGAATCGTATTGTCTCGGTGGCCAATGCACGCTCGGTACAAGAGCCGCAAAATGCAAAGAATGCCGAAGGTATTCGTGGCATGCAGCAAACGGGGGGTGCACGTCGACCAGAATTGCGGCGTCTCGCACAGCAGCGTCTGGACATGGGTTCGAACTGGCGCTGATGGCTCGAGCCGGAGAAAGGCCGTTGTAAAGGACGCAAGATGCAGATAGTAGCTGTCCTTGGCACCGACACACGTCCATAGGGCCCCCCATGGCAAATGGCGCTTGCGCTGGACGTGCGCAATCAGCGTCGCATCCGTTAAGAGCGCCGAGAGCAGTTTGAGCAACTGATGGGGCGGCGCCGAGTGTGAGGTCCATCGGGATACGTGTGCGCTGGCCCGCTGTAGTACGCCGGCCCAGGTGGTCAAAGGGACATCGGCCCCTCGCCAGAGCTCGAGAAAGGCGCCTGCGGCTACATGACAGCGCTTCTCAGGTGCGGTTTCGAGCCACGGCACGGACGGTTGCAGTAGCATCAAGAGCGCGTCGGTGGTACTTTGGGCAATAGCAAGGCGCTCGCCTAGTGTCTTGCGCTGCGTGCGCCAGAGGGTCCAGAGCACATAGGCCGCATCGATGCTGCACACGTGCTCGTGGAGCAATGGCAGTATGTGCTCGACGGACGCCACGCACGCCGGGTACGAGAGCAGTCGGAGGCGCATCGTCGGCGTCTCGCAAAGCCGCGCGAGCACCGACACAAACCCTTGCATCCCGACGCAGCCGCTCCGAAGCGTCGCACAAATTTTGGCCACGTACACGTCCTGGGTGAGAACGTCGGCGACCCGCGGGAGCTCGCAGAGCGCTGCAACACAGAGCGCACTCACATGCTTGATCGAGTCCCACGGCATGAGCGTGATCTCCATGACAAGAGCGACGGCCGCGACGGCGACGTCGACGGTACCCGGTGGCGTCTGCAGCGACCGAAACCAAGTGCAGGTTGGTAGAAACGCCAGCAGCCGGACGAGGACGCGGAGCAGCCCTTCGTGGCGTTTACTGAAGGCCGCCAAAGTCGTCTCCAACAGCATGTAGGCCAAGCCGTGGCACTGTGCCGTGTCAAGCGACGGTGGTGGCGTGGCGAGTATGGTGCCGACCACGCGTGCGAGTCGAGTCCGCGCGTTCTCCAAGACGCACCCGAGGATCGGCACGTCGAGCAGCGACTGCAGCTGCAGAACGCACGCGTGCGCAAGGTCAAAGGCATTGAGCGCAAGGTGGAGGCCGCGCCGGCAGGCGTAGAGCAGCACTTCGGCCAAGACAAGTAGTCGGCTACTGTGGTCAAACGGGAACGGTGTCGTTGGTACGATACGCACCACGCTGAGAAGTGTCGGTAGCAGTGCGGCGTGGGCGCCGAGAGAAGTGTCCCAGGTCGGTGACGGAGCATTGTCAAGCCGCGCCGTCGCAACACAGAGGTTCCGAAGGCACTGTAAGGCCGTGAGACTGCGCTTCATGGTGGCGTCGGCCGCGTTGACAGCAAGCACGTCGAGCGTGCTACCGTCGTCAACGAGCGCTTGGTAGATGGGTGCGACACGGTGGGGCACAGCGTCCGGCGTCGTCGCGCAACACAAGCACGAAAGCAACTCGAGCGGTGGGAGCGACCCACTGCGGATCGCTGCCCGTTGTTGAAGGCTCCATACCGACGCCACGTCGAGAACGTCATCATGACACACGACGAGATTACGAAAGTACGGGTGCCGACCAAGCGTGAGCAACAGTCTAGTTAGCACAACAATGTCAGACGAGCAAGAAACGTCATGTCGCAATACTACTTTTGGGCTTCGATCGCGTCGTCTTCGGCGAGGTTGAGCACATCCCCGACAAACGAATGCAGCAGTCGGCGCGGGGATAGGTACTTGAGGTACGACGCGAGCTGAAAGTTGTTGACGGCAAAGAGCTTGCGCAAAACGCGGTAGAGCACGCAATAGTCGAGCCGTGGCAACAGCGGTTGCTCCTCAAAGAGCGTCATGACGGTGTCGATCCAGTGCATGTTGAGGCTCTGCATGAGGGCACGCCGTGCGCGCAATGTGCAGCGACAGAGATGCTTGCCCAAACTACAAGCCGCTGTAGGATCACAATGGTACGACGCGAGCGCCAAGAGCACTTGGCCGAGCGCATTGCACAACAGGACGTCGGTCGGTGCAATGATATCGTCAATCGGTTTTGTGAACGCCGACGCAAAGAACGTTGCGCCCGCTGCACCGTGGCGCCGCCCGAGTGTCAAGAGAATTTGATGGGTCGCGCCGTGGGCCTGCGACGACAACACGGCGGCAGCGACAAGGACGACCGAAGTCACCAAGTCGGACGGCACAGGGCCGTGCCACTGTGCAATGTCGTGGATGAGGTGAACGAGGAGCCATGGGTTGATGCGACTGGCTTCTTTTGTCGCGGCTACGGCGTGTAGCATCGTGGCCAGCAGGATCGAGCTCGCACCGAGCAAGGGCGGGGCCAGGAGCGACATTTTGAAGCGTGAGAGGTACGTACCCTTTTCGGGGCGCCGATCGCTAGCGTACATGCTTCGGACACGGTCCATGCCACCGAGAAGCTTTTGCTGGATCGAACTCGGTAGCGCCGACTCGATCGTCGCTTTGAAGAGCACGAGACTGACGACGCCACTCATGGCCGTCGCGCGCTCCGGGGCGCCGCCGACACAGCTCGAGATGCCGACCATGCACCCTTTCTCGAGGACGTGTGGGTGAAACGGCGCCCCGTCGAGGTGCCACGCCACCTTGCCGGTGGTGATGACGTACAGGCCCGGCTCGGTGATGACCGACCGCGACGGCAACACGCGATGGATGATCATGCACCGACTGACCAAGTGCAGCTCGGCAAACGAAAGTTGGCCAAAGACCACGAGGCGCCGAAGCATATCTTCGATCCAGGCAAAGTCGACTTCGGTGGTTTGATTCCCGAGTGTCATGTCGTTTAGGCGGTGGTCGTAAATCGGGTACAAGGCGCCAAGCAAAGCGATACGAGCTGAGATCAACGCCACTGACTCGAGTGCCGGCGACGGGCCATTGGTCTCGGTCAGAAGACTCCGGAGCCCCGTCTCGGCCGACCGGAGCGCCGTGCGCCGCTTCACTTCCGACGACGCGGAGACAGCCATCGAGAAGCGCGTCATGTTGGTCGTCGAGTGACCGGTCGAGTGCAGCACCGACTTGCGCGGCGAAATGGACGCGTGGCGGGCCGCCGGGTCCGGGCCCCGGGGCCCCGACACATCCATGAGCAGTTGCAGTAGCTTGAGGACCATGACTTGGACGGCGCCAGTGGTTTCAAAGAGGCAATCAAAGAGCACGAGGATACCGCCGTGGTCACAGAGCCGCGCGACCGTCACGGACGGGGTCGCCCGTGCGAAATGCTGCGTCAAGGCGAGAAGCGACTGCTTGAGCTCGGCCGACGGCGAGACCGCGAGCAAGTCGAGCACCGTACGCAGGAGGGGACGCGTGTTCGGGGCGCTCCGCGGGCACATACCTTCGGTACTTGATGTCGGCGCGGCCTTGGCCAATTGCAGCTCGAGCGCGTGCAGTACGATAAGCGCGGCCCGGGTCGCCGACGTGACGACGCACAGCACCTGCGTCGCTGCAATGATGACATCGAGCTGCGCGTCACTCGGGCGCTTGAGCGCGAGGCACTGAAACGTGGGGTTGTACACTATCGGGAGCTGCAACAAGGCAAAGATTTGTCGCAGCAGTGTCGCGTCGTCCACGAGGTCGAGTGCGACGCTCGCATCGTTCCGCGCAAGATCCCAGAGAAAGCTCAGAACCGGCACCAAGTGCGTACTGCTGTGTGGCGTGAGGCAGTGCACGAGCGCGCTTGTGAGCGCCATGTCCAAAAACGTCTGTTTGTAGAGAGGCGCGACGCGGAAGAGCTGCGCAATCAAGTCGAGGAGCAGCGGCAAGGCGCGTGGCGAGACCGACGCGATCACGTCGACGCACTGCTGCAGCATTTGGGGCGCGACAAGGAGGCCACTTCCCGGATGTCTAGTGTGCAGCCAATGCAGCAATTGCACAAGAAAGGCCGTGATGTTCTTGCCGTCTATCGCCGTCCTTTCACGCGTGAATGACGTTGTCCAGAGATGCAACACGGTGCGCAACAGCTCGTGGACGACGCGAACGCCGGCGTGGCGTGACAGCGGCGCGTCGACACCAAACGGCATGCCTTGTTCAAGGCACTGCAAGCGACGCGTCAGCTCTTTGGCGTCGCGAAGGAGCGGTCGATGCGCGTCCGAGCCGGTGAGCGCGGCGGCGAGGCACTCGGACGGTATGGTGTGCTGCTCGAGAAACTGCATCTCCAAAGTGAACGCCGCGTCGGTCAGCAATGTTCCAGCCATACTCGCATAGACGGGGCGGTACGTCATGCTACTGTCCAAGGCTAGCTGTTGGCCAAGGAAGAAGAAGACGGGTTTTGCATCATTGGCGACGTCGTCGCGCGGCATGAAGACACCATGTCCAAAGACAAGTTGCCGAAACACACTGGGAACACAAAGGAGATGCTCGTAGATGTGCACAATGTTGGCGCGCACCGCCGCGTCCCGCTCGGTGTCGATGGGCGTGGCGGCAGCGACCGAGACGAAATGCAGCAATGCCGACGTGTGGCGCACGGTCTCGCTTCGCCCAAGCGAGGCCAGAGCGCGCGTAATGTCCACCTAGGGTTCGTGTTTCATGGTTGTACCCTAGTCGCCATTGTAACGTACGCGCAGCTCGGAGAGTACAGCCGTTGATAGCGGTGTCCTACAAACCGCGTGACGACAAGGCCACGATGACAACACCGAGTCTACCCTTCAAACCGGCTATCACCAATGTCCAGAAAAAGCTGCACGAGAACGTCGAGGGCGGCGTCCGTTGCTGCATACGAGCCTTCCTTGGCCAAGAGCAGCGCCACAAGTGCGTTGTCGTGCACGGTGGACGCGTTCGTGATGGCAGCCACGAGCCGCGCCGCCCCCGCGCACTGCTGGAGGAGCACACCGCGGGTTCGATATCCCGTGGCCCACTCGGCCCGCAAGGCGAGGCACCGGAGCACGCGCTCGAGGTACGGCTTATAGCGACTGCCTCCAGTTTGAAACGCGCCGTTGAGAAAGTATGTCGCGTAGGACGGGTCCTCGAGGAGGCGTCCGAGTACCGCGAGGGCAGCGGCGTGCAGCGTCAGCGAGGCCTCTTGACTGACGGCAAAGACCGATGTAAGCGCCGTATAGGGTCCTTTTGGGTGGGTTAGAAACGGCGCAAAGGTCCCATTCGGGTCTCGATCGCGCTGCAGCACGCTCTCTAGTAGCTCCAGTGTCTACAAGATACGTGACGTTGTCATCCAGCATCCAGGAAATTTGAAAGCTACCTTTTGCAACGCGGGCTCTTGCATCGCATCCGAGGTACCGACCATACTGACAAGAGCTTGGACGAAACCCACATCGCTTAGCACCTCGAGACGCAGCTGCTCGTCGGCGGCAATCGCGACTTGAAGCGCCGAGAGGACGTTCAAGGTCAAGGTCGGGCTTTCGACAACCAAGCTCTGCGTCAGGATATGGGCCAAGCCTACAAAGAACGAACGGTACGTCGTCGCCATGGACACGAGAGAGACCGACCGTGCACGATCGGGCGTGTCAAGCAGTATGGTTGCCACGGCGACGCAGCCTCAAACCCCGCGGAGAGCGCCAAGGAGAGCGTGACTGCCAACGCGGTTGCGTCACGAACATACGTGTCGTGCAGCAGGTGGGGCAACGCCGTCACAGTCTCCAGCAGAAGGGACAGCAACAGCAAAGGAACGCTTGGTCGGTCGGCAGCGTCGAGTTCGCACTGAAGCAACAGCTCCAGTGGTCGTCGCAGACACTTGGTGACGCGACTCTCATTGGTCACCAGATCGTCGCTGTCGAGGAGGACCGACGACCACGCAGCCGATTTTCGGTGCCAAACCTAGCACCCCCTCTTAGATATAAACGAGAAAGCATTTTGCGTACACGCGTCGCGTCCCGCTGCTCGAGCCAGCGGATGAGCCCTCTCGCCAGCGTGCCTTGGTGTAGTCTCGGCGGCAGTGGCACCGTGCTGTTCTTCGCGGCCAGCGCCAGCATACTGATGGCCTATGATCGAGAGAGATATGAGTGTGGTGGCGACATGAAAAAAGCACTTCAAGCTGCAGCGCCGGTCGCGCTGTGGTGAGCAGTGCGACCACATCGATCGAATGAACTTGCTCCTTGACGCTCGCGGTTTGCAGCGAGAGATGACCCAAAGCTTGCATTGCGAGGCGTTGCACTGTCCCATCGTCCGGGCTGCCAGCCAACTGCACGAGGCGCGCAAGGAGCTCGCTTGGCACCGCGCTCCCAAGCGCTGGATCGACGCGCGCCAAGAGCGAGAGTGACGCACACATGCTTCGACGCAGCAAAATCGGTGCGTCGCCCGCTGGAAAAGCCTCGAGCCACGGCCCCAATTCGCGCCGATGCTTGTGTACAAGGCACACTGTGTAGCTTCGCAGCACCTACTCCATACTCGTCAACCTCTTGGTTGCATGCATCGTTTCATCGGATACTTGGTGACGCAGTAGTGTCGAGGGCGCGGCTGGCACGCCGGGGCCACACAGAGGCAAGAGACCCAGCGCTGCGAGCTTGGCGTTCCACTGGACGGTCGTCGCTGCATGGCCAGCGGCTGCCTCGAGCGCATTGTTGAAGGTACTCGCTTGCTTGATCATATCAACATCGCACGAGGCCGACCACGAGGATGAGGCCCCATCGCCCAATCGGTCGCGGAGTTGCTCGACAAGTCCAAGCTTGCACAGGTCGTCGCACACGTCCTTGTCGACCGCAAGGCACGCGACAACACCGGCGGCACCGTGCACAACGGCCCAGGACTCAAACGAGGCAAGGCCACTGCGCGCACTGAGCGCCGCCACGAGCGCAACCTGGAGCGCCGACGACCACCGGAGGCTGTCACGGCCTTGTTTTCGTAGCGCGAGTGCCCACAGTACATGCAATGCTTGCACCTACTTTGTCGATGAGATTCCCACCAACTCTCGACAACAACCTGCGCGACGCTCGGTGTAGCCGCGCTCAGGAGAAGCGCCATCTCGGCACAAGGTATTTCGAACGCAAACGCTTCGGTTGCCCCGAGACGCAAGAGGACGTTCGCCATCACAAAGAGGGCCATGGGCAAAAGGCGATCGCGGAGACGGCGAATGTGCAGTTCCGCGTCCCCTGCGCCTTTCACCGGGGCATCGTTGAGCTACAGCAATGATGGGATCTCTATGTGGAATAGGTGTAGTAGTGACATACCATTTGCAGCAGCCGTAGGGTAAAGCCAAACGTGCGCGTAAGCAGCGGTGCCAATTTATGCTCGAAACTCAGGACGACGAGCAAGTGCAAGGCGCAGTCGACGTACGCAATTATGTTGGCGTTGGAGAGCAGTGTCTTTCGCTGAGCAAACAATGACGTGTGCAAGAGCACCTCGAGCCATGGCCCACTGGCATTCAACGTAGGCCACAGCGGCTGCGTGATCGTTCGGAGGAGCGAGTGGAGCACGATGGGCGCGTGCCACACAAGGTAGCTCAGACCGTAGAGCGCCAAGGACCGCCACGCAATGTCGTCATGAGATGTGAGCACGAGGTAGACATAGTCGACGTGCAGATCGGTGACCGCCGCATTGGCCAGCGACGGGTAAAACCAGAGCTTGGTCAAGCACTGCAGCGCTTGCAGCCGCAGCTTGGGGCTAGCGTCCAATGGCGATGTACGCAGCGCGAGCGACCGCGTGTTGCACACGAGCAAGACGAGGGCGGCGAGAAGCGACGGCGACGTCGCACAGATGGCACACGTGGCGTAGCGTAGGAGCACGGGAAGGAACCCGTGCGTCTTTCGGTGCCGGTAGAGCCACCGCAGCGCGCATTTTTGAATCCGATTGGCAGCCAGGATTTTGCGCGAGCCGTCGCGCGGGATCGAAGCGGCGACCACCCGTGTCGGTGTCGTCGTCGGCATGGTAGCACCCGCATTCGCAAACACGGTGGCCACAAAGCGGGCGGCGACGTCGGCCACAAGATGACGCGTCGTCGACACGAGCACGGCACATTGGCACCGCGCCGTACTCTGATGCTGTGCCAAGACGATGGCACTGAAGCGCGTGGCGTCCGGCGACGGGGTTCCCGACGTTGCGATACCCGTGACACGGTCCAACCAAAAGATTCGCTGCGTGGCTGCCAAGTCGTGCAGCAGCGGTGCAAGTGCTGCGAGGACCCACCGGTGCCACGGTGCGACTGCCAGCAGTGTTGCAAGCGCGCCCACGACGATCCGCCCAGCGTCTTGGAGAAAGTCGGTCGCGACTTGAGCCCGACAGAGTATGCACTCGACGAGGATCTGCAGTACATTAGCTTGGTCGTGGCTGTCGGGCAAGGCGCTTTCGCCGCGAAGCGCCAAGGCGGCGACCAGTGTCTCAATGACGCGTGCTCCGTGCAAGACCACGCGCGCACTTGTCGCGGCATGCATGCAGCGCGCCACGAGGCCCATGGTGGCGACCGCACTCTGTAGCACATACTCGATGCCGCCGGGCGTCGCCAAGAGGCTCAGAAACCGACACTCGAGCGGCTCGCGCGAACACATGGCCGTCGCATCGGTCAGGCATATCGTGATCGCCGCCGACAAGTGCCGTAGCAGTGGCCCTTTCGTCAAGATGCAGTCACTTGCACCGGCACTCTCCAGCGGCAATCTTGATGGGAGGCCAAGCAAATGGTCCGGTAGCGTCCCAAAGTACTGCAAGAGCTTGGTCGGCGACCCGAGCTCGTGGTGGAGCAGAGCGCCGAGCACGGCTTTTTGTGCGAGCTCTGTGATGCGCACGGGTAGCCCCGGGGTTGCAGCAAGGTCCACGAGCCGTTGTAGCATGTCGCCTTCGTGACGACATCCGTTGGCGTCAATGACGTCATTGACGCACGTCATGACGGCGGCCACGTACGCGTCTTGAGCGTCCAGAAGGCCGTTGAGCGCTTCGAGGACCTTGACAGTCGCGTGCCCCGTAATTTCTTGCGTGCAAATGTAGTGCATCACCAGTGGAAATGACGACGGCCCGACGTCCGCGTGCGTCCTACGCAGCAATATCACATGCCGCATCGCCAAAAATGACCAAGTACCAAGCGAGCAAACAGCGCTCCAAGGCGTCGTTGGCGGGACCCGTCGGCGTCGCATCCGCAATCCCAGACGTCGTGGAAACGCGCAAGACGGACGTCGTTGTCTCCTGTGTGGCCAAGAGCTTGCACATGGGCAGGCCGCCGTGGTCCAAAACCGATGCCACGTCCGTCGCCGTCATAACATGCGACACGAAAGCAACGTCGGAAGGCGCAGTCTGTGGCGGTTTGCCGAGTGCGCCAAACACGCGGACTAGCACCATGGCGACGTGGCCATCGGGCGACACGCCGGACCCGACGCCAATGCGATCAACGCCCACGACTTTGAATACATCCAAGAGACACCATTGCTTCAGTCGCGGTAGGACGCTGGCGTGCAGCATATTGACGCCGTACCCGACGCACGAGGCGCGGATACCGCCCATCGCGGTTGCATCCAAAAATGAATCGGTGGTACTCGTCGACCAGAGGGGGAGGGCCAGCGTCAAAAGCTCAATGAGCGACTTGCTCGAGAGCATCGCGTCGCCCGAGACGCTGTAGACGACTGGAAGCGGTGCGATAAGGTGCACTGCCAACGCCATTTCAAACGCAGCGTCGCGCTCGGCTACAAAAAAGTACCTACACCCCACTCGCGTCAGTACAGCAATGGCGTGCAGAGCTATACCGTGACACGTGGTGGGGCTTGCGGTGACGCCGGGGCATGTACCACCGAGGCACCGGCGGCCACGCGTCGGTCACCATCACCGCGCAATGAGCGTCGACTTCGGCGCACCGACATTCGTCGACAATGACGTTTTCGCGCACGAGTGGCTCGAGGCGCTGGGTAACGACGTCGCGTAGCTCCATGATGTGAAGGGCGACGCCCGTCGACTCACGCCCCGTCAGAGCCCGCGTAAAACAGTGGTCGATCTTGATCGACGGGTGCCATGACCCATCAGACGCTTCGAGGACGAGAAGAATGAGCTTTCGCAGGTGCAGTGTGCCAAAGAGCGCCTCGTCGGTCGCCTCGGGGAGCTTCCACGCTGCGACGCGGACGCCAATTTCGTGTCGGTGGCGCGCTGGTAGTGTTCGCGACCGGCAGTGCGCTTCTATTTTGTCCAGTGTCTTGCGAAACATAGCCATAGTGTGGAGACCGAGCGCGAGAACGTGGGTCCATGGATCGACCGCATTAGCTGCGTCAAGCCATGCGACGTCGGACGGGTGGAGCACGAGCCGCAGGCATTCGAGCGCCCCGACCACCGGCGACGGGTAGTCTAGCACACAACGTTATATAGGCAACCGATGGGAGAATGTGGCACGTACGTGGCAGCTTGTCCTTGAAGCCAGGGTACGTCTCGCGCTGCTTGTAGTGACTGCGAATGACGCTCAGTGTCTTCATGGTTTGGAACCGGCACGATGACACGACGTCGTCACGCACTTCGCGCCAGAGACAAAAGCCGAGGCCGCGCCAAAGATACCGCTTGACGGCGCCGGCAGCCGTTGTCGACTGCGGGGCCGCCACCAAGTACAGAAGCATGACGCGCTGGAACGCCTCGCGGAGCTCCAAGAGGCTCTTGCCGGCCTTGCTCAAGAGACTTCCCTCGGCCATGCCAAAGGCCAGAACGAGATCGTCTCGAGCCATACAAGCCATCGCCGGCGTCGCGTCGTCAGCGGCGAAATAGGCCAAGGCCGCAACAAGCGCGCGGTCCAATTCAAGCGCGATGGGTGCGACCGACACCGAGCTGCGCTTCATATCGAGTAGAGCTTCGTGGCTCATTTTTTCGTCGTCGGTACCATCCTGCATGAGCGTCAACTTCCCGCTGCCGTCGTTGTCGTCGACGAGCATCCCACGCAAGCTACCACCTCGCGGCGTCCCATCGACAGAGAGTGCACGAGTCGAGCCCATGCCGCTGCGACTGGACGCGCGTCGTTGCACCGTAAGCGTGGTTGATGGTGTCGTGAGAGCCAGCGACGCGCGCTTTGCACTGTCCCGAGGCCCTTCGCGCGCGATCTTGTGTTTGGCGGGGACCAGCATCGTCATGTCACATAGCTCCGAAGTTGTGATCGTATCGCCTGTTTCGCTGTCGTCTTCGCTTGGTGTCGTCGTTGTGGAGGGCGGCAACTCGACCGGACGTCTCTCATCTGGTGGCTTTCGTCGGGGCGACTGCGGCTTCCGCAGCACAATGGGCGACTGCGATCCGACTGGAAGCATCGGTCCAATGCCAAGGTGGAGTTGGCCCTCGTCGTCCAGCGTCAAGACAGTTCGCTCGATGACCTTTTGAACGATCGGGGGCTGCTGACGCCCGTCCGTGAGGAGGACACTAATCATGTCGACACTGCTCTCGCAAACGTCAGCAACGTCAGCGAGATCCAATTCGAGGCGCACAGAGTCGTTGAGTGCGTGGAGGGCCGCCATCGGGCGTCCGGACAACGTCTCGACGATCTCGCGGAGCACGATTTGCAAGCCGACACGGTCAATGTAGACGTCAACGTCGGCGGCGTAGAGGCCAATCTGGTGCGACGCCGTGAACGTTGGCTTGAGTGCACGCCGGGGCGACCGTGGCGAAGGCTTGAGAACCCGCGCATACTGCACATAGAGAACAAAGCCGTGGTGCAGAAAATCCGAGAGCGGCTCGTGTGCTTCGTCTGAGAGAGGCACGGGCTCGCATTCTTCGAGCGACTTGACAAAGGAAAAGGCCATGGGCCGAGATTTCTTCCACAGCGTCTTGGCGTCGACGACGAGGCTCAGGACGACGCGGACGTCGGCGAGCGTGGCCGTCGCGACGACGTCGAGGACGATTGGGTCGTCCTCGGCGCTTCCATCGGCGTTGCGGACGTGGACCGAGCGCCATGCGAGACGCCGAAACGCCGCGAGCTTCTGAAGGCTCTCCGTATCCGTCGCATGGAGCGGTCGCTCCTTCCGCGCGGCCATATTTGCCGCGCAATGGTTTTGGATACCAAAATGCTCGCTTTCGATTGGTCGCTGAAAGGACACGATCTTTTGAATTTCAGCCAATCACCAGGCGATACCTCGTCAACAAGCTCTCGGTCGTTGGCGATATCGCCCACACACTGCTATTTTGATCCGCGGGTATATGCTTAGTGGATATGGACACACTTCGCTCCCCCAAAACCTCCAAGATCACGCATTTCGCGTGATCTTGGAGGTTTTGGGCTGTAGGGCGTGTCACTTTCGCGCGACAGCGTGCACTCCATGTATGCAGTACCAAAGCAAGCCGCATGGAAACGGATGCTTGTGAAATTCCCGAGACCAAAATACGCGAATCGAATTGCCTTGAAAAAGTGTTGTGATTGGCTGATTTACGAATTTGCAGCGGTTTCGCAACGATCATGCAAATACTTGGGAGGGAATTGAACGAAACTCGCCTTGCTACAACCAATGGCGTCCACTGTTCTTCGAATCACGCCCGTTGAATAACGCTATTTGTCGCGACACACCTTGGGCCGTTTCGCCACCGAGTTCCGTCGACCAACGCGATCAACCACGTGTCGTCGAATGGGTGTCTGGATGTCCACGTCCGAGCGCCGCCGTCGGTCAGCGGCAACGTCGTCATCGGCCGCGTCGACGCAGCCAAAGTCGTCGGGCATGCGGTCGTTCTTACTTGGTTTTTCAACGGCACTGACGCGGTCGCTCAAGTCCAAGTCGCGCGCATCTGTGATTTATGCGGTGAGCGACGAGGTCCATCTCCATGTTGACACGGCGTCGTTTGACGGCCTCTTTTGCCGCGGCCTCGCATCGTCCGACGAGTACCACCACTACATGCCACCCAACATGCCGCTCTTCCCCGTGTACGAGCCCAGCTACCACGCAACGTGCGCCCGGACGTGGAAGAGTTTGTGCATGGGCAGTACCCCCAAGATGCAGTCGTACCACAAGGACGGCATCGTGCTCTTCTACGACGAGTTCTTCCACCGCCTCTTTCAGCGCGACCCGAGCTTCACCGACGTCTTTCCTGGCATTCGAAAGCGCATTGAAGTGCTCATCAAAGCGCTCAAGTTTATGCTGCCCGAGACCAATGCCACGTCGCCCATCGATGTCATGCACCGGTGCCGCCACCTCGGGCACCGGCACAGGACGATCAAGAAGGTCCGGCCACACCATTTCGCCGTGTACACGAGCACGCTTATCGAAGTCGCCATGTTCTGGCTTGACAACGAAGCGACGCCGGACGTGGGCGAAGCGTGGAGCAATCTTGTTGGCTTTCATCTCAAGTTTATGCTCCAAGCCTACCTGCATGAAAATGTGGTCCCGTCCGAGTGGAGCCAAAACGTGACGATTCCGACAGCCCACACCATTGCCCGCAAAAAATCGAGCACGGTCCTCACCGATGCACGCGTGAGCGGGCGACCAGCACAGCGACCGACGATACCCGAGCCCTTTCTAGCAACGGCGGCCCCCGAGACGGCACCAGTGGTATCGACGCCTGGAACACCGACGACAGCGCAGCTACGCGAGCGGCGGGCGTCGCGCACGCATGCATGGCTATAGCCGCCTTCGATAGAGCTATTTATTTAGATTTGACCTCAAATAGGATACGCGAAGAAGCGTTTAGAGTAAACTCGCCAATACAATTGTCATGCCCGTCGTCGGGCCAAGCCAAATAATGTACAACAGTTTTGGCTCTACAGTTGAACCCTTTTCGAACGCCCTCTAAGATAGCTAAACTAGAGTCTGTGTGTTTGGTGGATAGCCCAAGTCTAACTTTCAAATCCTGTGGATTATGGATATCAACAGCTCGTTAAATGGGTTAAACCAATATGGCGATGAATTGATTATACACAACGGTAATTCTAGTATATGTTCTACTACTGGGCGCGACAAATATTTTAGCGCAGGCGCTTGGGCACGCACTGCGAGTACCACTCGTCCTGCGTGACGCAGATGCTGCCGCCAACGCACTCGGTGCTGCCCGTGTAGTCCTTGCCGCCGCACTGCTCCCACGCCTTCTTGCCACCACCAGAGATAGGCTTGGCCGTCGGCTTGTCGGTCGGCTTGATGGAGGGCTTGCTTGTAGGCTTGGTCGACGGCTTGTCGGTCGGGGTCGGCTTCTTCGTCGGCTTGTCCGTCACCGGCGTCGGCTTGTCCGTGACCGGAGCCTTCGTGGGCTTGTCCGAGCTCGGCGCGGGCGTCGGGTTCTGGCTGCTCGGCGACGGCTTCGGGTCCGACCCGCACGTGTCGCTAATGTAGATGTCGGCGCAGTTCCAGAACTGCTCCTGGCCGTTGATGTCGACGCCTGGGTTGTTCCAGCCGACATACCACCAGCGAAGCACGCAGTGCGAGTCGCCGTCGCACTTGACGTCCTTGGGCAAGTTGTACTGCATCTTGAAAAAGTCGGCACCCGCGGGGAGCTGCCACTGCTTGTCGCCGTTGGGCTGCGTCAGCGACTGGAAGCACTCTTCGGTCTCCTTGTCGCCCTTGCCGTTGAGCTTGCAGAGACCAAACTCAAAGTAGCCCTTGTGGTTGGCCGTGATCTGGATGTTGAGGTCCATGGTGGCGCCGGGCGCGAAGCAGGCGCCAACGACCTTGGACCCGTGGGTCGGGAAGAGACCATAGGTGCCGCCGGATTCGTGAGCGCGCGCGCCGTTGTACGGGTCGCCGCACACACCGTGCTTGCCACCGGACGTGGCACCAATGCCACCGGCGCTCAAGCCGTTGTCGCTGTAGTTGATGGGGACGAGGTCCTTGAACTGGGGCAGCTTGCCGATGTAGCCGCGGTGAGGCGGGAACACCATGCGGCCGTGCGCGTCAACGTTGGAGACGGCGGCGGCGAGGAGGAGCGTCGAGGCAAAAAGCTTCATCGTGGAGAGTGGTTGTTGCTGGGAAAGAGCAAATTGAAAAGTGAGAATCGAGATCGAGTGGGTTGAAAAAGAACCAAGTGTACCCAAGATACGAGCACTCGATGCTTCACATCCTCGTGGCGTGTGACAAATGTCCTCCTCGTATACTGTAGTCGCATTGCACGGCGCATTGTATGCACAACATCCGCCAGATCAAGTCGTTCGTGGAGCTGGCAATCGAGCAACCGGCTGCAACTATAGAATTCCAGCGTGACACGGATCGCACGTTCGGAGACAACATCTGGTTTCCACCGTGGGACGCTCACTGTTCTTTGACGCTGCCTCTAAAGCGTCTCAAAAGCGGTGACAGCTTGCAGGTACGCGTACATCGCAGGATTTGTATTTACATTCTAGATATACAGGAGCAACGGTAGGTATTGCCACTACTATACCCCTGTACCACGGGTATTGGCGCAGCTCGAGGTAATTAGGCATTCGCGCTGCTTGTTTCTGGCGCAAATGAATCCCGGGCGGTAATATTGCGTGGGTGCAAGCTCTCCACACAGTGGACTGGATGGGTTGAAGTCCGGCACAGCCTGTAGAATGCACTGTGGGACGATGCAAACTGTGCATGTGGTATGGACCATCTCAGAATCCAAGGACGTGGGCCGTTCCGTGTGAAATGTGATTCGAAGGACATATGTCGGCAACGCATGGAGCTTCGAGACCGTACGTTTCCCACGTACCACATTGTGGTGGGTGCAGATTCTGTTGACCAGAATCTGAATGGTGAACCACAATCAACCAGCCTCTGGCACCACCACCGTGTCCTCGAGAACGACCTCCACGCGAAGCAAGCTTCAAGTACGCGACGTAGGTTGAGAAGCCCCTTGTACAGGAGCCACACTGGTTCCTTCGATGCGTTTTTTGGTGTTGGATTTTATGAGAATGGATCTTCTCTTCCGCCGTGATGTCTGCAGGATACCTTGCAAGCTGGCGAGGCGCCTGGGCGTGGTCATCGTATGAGGCTCGATACAGCGGAACCGCCGCAACTTCGTCGGATCCAGTTCATGAAACGTAAAAG